ACCGACGCCTGGCCAGGCACGACTTCCCCCGGCTTGTAGAGCGGTCCGCCCTTGACCACGTAGTTCACCTTTTTCGTCGTCAACATTGTCACGAAAAACGAGCAGATACAATACTCGGTTGGGCGAGGCGTCGTGGATTATCTCTTGGCTGCCTACTGCAGGTCGTTTTGACCATTGGACCGCACGCATCGTCGTAACTCTCTCCGTCGAGAAGGAAGCATTCTCATTGGCCAGCCGGTGTAGCGCGGACGACGCCCATTTGCTGAAACACGGACACACAAGAGCAGCTTACCTCTATAAATAGTGTGCATATGCATCATTCCGAAAATAATTAAAAGTCGCATTTGATCTACTTGCTACCAAGGCATCATTCCGAAGACAGCTTTCTCTTGTCGGCTTCACGGCATCACGGGACATTACCTGAGTCGGCACGACGAAGCCCTCGTCCTTCTCCTGCAGCAGCTTCACTTGCTCCGCCAGAGGAGCCGTGTTGGTAGCGGCACCCTCGGTCTCCTCCGGGAGGCGGGACAGGAACTCCGACACTGCCTCGCTAGACCCGTCCAAAACAGACTAATGGTATTGTAACAAATACAAACGGGAGGGGGAGAGGGGGGACGGCACGTGCGCACAAAAATGAGGAGCCGGGGTACTGCTGTCATGATTCACGTTCGTTGCAACGTATCTATTGCCTTCTCTTGTGCGTTGAATATGTGGCAGTACCAGATATGATGCAATGCGTACGACACCGAAAAGACTGCGGCACAGCGTCTGCTACGATCCGAGTAGTAGCAGCTATTGGGAAGGCGATACAGTACCCGTGCACAATGCTATTCTGACTGGCATCGTCGGTGAGATGCACGACGACCATCTACAGTACTGTAGCTGAAGGAGGAGTGGGCAGTCACAGGGTGATATTTATATTCTGCACTATTTATCTATCTGTCGTTCACAGCCCCCAATGACACAAACGTTCTCCGGCGCCATGGTGCTGTCTGTCCCACAAGGTGCTCCCCGCCGCCCCCCACGCAGTCGGCAACAAGCAAACAGACAAGCAAGTAAGCACACCTTAGTTCCTGAACGCCAGAAAGACAAGCCTTGCGGGACAAAGAGAACAGCAGCAGCAGCAACATCCACCTCTAAACTCATAGGGGGGGGCACCATGACATTATCCACAGCACCCACAGCCAGAGCCAAAACTACCGACGAAAAAACGATCAACCCTGCCCCCCCCCCCCCACCTGCCCACCCCACACGTACCTTATCCCCCGTAAAGGTTAACCAGGAACTGCTTCTTGGACAGGAGGGTGGCGCGGACGCGCTGGAGGCGCTTGAGCATCTTGGGCCAGTCGTTTTCGGCCTCGTCCAGCATGTCCTTGACCGTGTTCACGTACGTCACTCCCCCCTGGAGCTCGCCCAGGTACCCGTCCACGGTGTACCTATTTTGGGTGCAACAGCCAAGAGACGAGGGGGGGGGTGTACTCATAGTCGTGCATGCCGTAGTCGTTTGACCATTGACCTCGCATCCCTACAAAGCCGGGACGGAGCACGCCGGGTTCTCACCGGACCAGGCTCTCACATCACCAAGCGCGAAGCGCCGTGAGGTATTTGGCGAGTCGCATGAAGGGTGAGCTGCATCCTGCTAAGGGTGTTC